TGTTGCATCCAGGGCAATGTTGGAGAGGAGCTGACATGTAGTAGCCGTGTCTGTCTGCTGCAGGTTGAAGCCTTCACAGCTTCCATCTGCCATGCATTGAACAGTGCAGCGAACATGGCTCGCAGCATAGGTAGATATGACGCTGCTAGTAATGGCCGTGTCGGATGCGTACAGAGTAAAGTACTCTTCCTTTACCGCTGTTGCTTCACAGCTCAGCAAGGCAACGCCCAGCAAAGCAGCTAACGTGGACGCATACATCTTGTTCCTGCTGCTGCCACTTCTCATTTGGTAGTAACATCACAAGCACATATTTTCCCGTTGCTATAGGTGGCGTACAACAATAAGCCTCCGCAGATTGTTCACCGTTTTTCTTCTCTAGAAAAGGCTTTTTTTTGCTTTTTTCTCCGCCGAAATTCGGCACTAGAGTGCAATAATTTGCATTATGCACGCAAGTTAGATGCCTCGTGGACGTCTAGAAAGCATTAGAAGTAAAATTGGTCGTGTTGTGTATTTGTGACATTCCGTCAGGTGGCGTAGCCACAGCGACCGGTTAGTCATTGTTGTGTTTGAAATGTGTTCAGACAACTTTGCAGAAATTCGCATCATAATCCCGGCGCACATTGCCGAACATTTTGCTCAAAAACATCTTAGCAATGTTCCATGAAATGTTCGGCAATGTGCGGTGAAAAAAGTCGCCGAACAATGTTTCTGAAGATCGGAAATGTTTGATATCTCGAACATTGTTCGTCGAATGTTTGTCAATGTGCGCTGAATGTCGAACAATTCTACGAACAGTTGTAAAGTAACCAATAGCAGCACGATATGTGGTCACATGATTTTTGTGCCTAATCATGCACCGATCACGTGACTCTTTACAACACAGCTACTAGACGGCGCCACGAGATTGTTCGCTGCAAAATGTTCGGCAATGTGCGCTCAGCAATTGTCCACCCGCACATTGCCAGACAAAAACATTTGTTCGGGAAAATGTTCGGCAATGTGCACCAGGCTATAGACTAAGAGCTGGCAAAAGTTTCGAGCGGAGCATAGAGCATGAATCTGTAGTTATTTAACATGAATAAAGTGTATGTTGTGTAAGCGAAGTAACAGTGTGAGTATTTTTAATTAATTTCTGTTCGGTGCTTATTCAGGCCTGCCGCCTATGGACGCCCTCTACTGTTGTTCAACTACACCTATAAATCAACGCCCACAATCACGCTCCATTGCTGTTGACTAGGGTCTGTTGACTGTTCCCTACTGCCCTCTCGCGGCCATGTGATGTATATGCAATCGCCCCCCCCCCTTCTTGCCGTGTTCGCTGCGCACATGTGTCGCTGGGCGTGCATACAGTCGTCATAGCCAGTTCGGTATGATAAAACACACGCACATTCTTCCCGTTGTGTTTGATGCATTCTCTACATGAATAAATATATATCTATATTTACTCTCTCCACTCCATCTCACTCTCCACTCATCCACTCCATCTCACTCTCCACTCATCCACTCCATCTCACTCTCCACTCATCCACTCCATCTCACTCTCCACTCATCCACTCCATCTCACACTCTCCACTTCATCCACTCTGTCTCTCTTTCGCCCTCTCTCTGTCTCGACACACACACACACACACATGCATGAACACACGCATACATGCACACACGCACACATACCCGCCCCCCACACCCCCGTCCGCCCCCCAACCCCCGTCCGCCCCTCCAGCGGCACGCCAGCGGCAACGCGAAGGGGGGGGGGATTTGTCAAATCCATAAATATATCTATATTATGTCTGCGTATGTGTGTGCGTGTGGGTGTGTGTGTGTGTGTGTGTCCATGTCTGTTTGTATGTGCAATACTGTCTGAGTGTCTGTCGTGTGTGTATATATGCGTATTAGCCAGCGAGCCATGCAGCTGTGATTTGCACGGTCCGTTTTGAAACTGCACGGCCAAAGAAATGGAAAAAATTCAAAATTCCAAAATTTAAACAAAATATTCCTGCCTAATACCCTGACTCTAACCCGAACCCTAATCGGAACCCTAACCCTAACCCTAAGCCGGATTATCAAGGAGAGCAGCACTCCTTTAGCTATGTTTCTCCTTCCCTCCAATTTTGTTATGTTCAATGCTGTGTCCAGTCCATCTCCACTATATTAGACATCTTCACCGTAACCCTGGCACGGGAGGCTAAACAGGTGCTATGCCTTGCCAAAGGACAACCTGTAGCTAGGGCGGCAAAGGAAGCTTATCTCCTTACTAGTGACAAAGTCACTCCCTTCTCCAAGCAAACTGCGATAAAGTGCCTTGCTCATTGCGATTGCGCCAGGGTAAATCTGCGAGCCGGACACCCCAACCCTAACTCCCACGCTCATGGGAGGGGGGAGGTGTGATTTCCCATGCTCTGACCAGCCAAGGTGTTGTCTCACCCCCCTGGCAGACTTCTCAGCCTGAAGTCCTAAGTGACAATCACATGGCCACTGCTCTTCCCAGGTGGCTCTTGCACGGCTATGACACTGTCTCCATAAGTAGTTGGTGGTAGTGGAGTTGTTGATGAAGTTAGCAGCTCATCACTGGATCATCTCTTTGCTGTTTTTGTTGGACTTTGTTGATAGATCTCAGATAGAGGGAAGCATATATTCAATGGTTGGCAACTTATAGCTTGGGTGGAAGAGGAAGCTCACCTTCCCACTATGGACTTGTGAAATGAAAGTCTCTCCTCTTGCATAAGATATAAACATGTGTCGTATATAAATGCATATATATCATGGAATCAGGTATCATCTTGGTTGGGTAGTCTTCGTCTGAGAGCAAGGTTGAAGTGACGGTGAGTCATGAGGTTGCATGGAAAGCTGGTATTAGAACCGAGCAATACTCTTGATTCTTCTTGACTTGTGATGAAATTACGCTCGGTGAGGTTCCCACTCAAAAACTAACGTTCCGGATGGGTCTAAGGTGACATTTTGCGCCTTGCAGTGAGGCGATAGATAGATCTGCCTCCATATGATGTAGGCTGGACAATAGTGTGCATCGTCTTCCGACGAGTGTAGATGCTATAGTCGTACTTCCACCCTGAAACAAGAACTGCTGATGTCTAACAATGAACTAGATGTAAAACTACTCAGGATTCGATTAACAACATATAGATGGTAACAAGGCAGTTTCACGTTAATATAGTGCATCGTTGCAATAACAGTTTTGGTTTCAACGATTTCATGCACTCACACATCCCGTCAGCTTGATGAAGTGTCTATGTCTGCACAAATGTCCTTTTACACGATTTGGTGGCTCATTGCCGGCGTGTGCTGATCCGTGGGTGTGGCAGTGTTATGCAGCTTCTCAGCAGAAGTGAGTTTGAAGTCCTGGATCCTTGTTCCCGGTTCCGGTTCCTTCCTAGTTCCTTGCTCTGTAACAACAGTAAAGACAAAACTACAATTGTGCGAGATTATTAATACGTAAGTATAGGTGATAAAGTTAATGAGCAACCTGTTAGGAGGCATTATAACGGATAATTTATATGCTATAAATACATATAACTCATTTATGGATATTTCATATAATTCACATTCCTATGTCTGATCTCAACTACAACAGTTCAGACAGACCAAATTAATTTATTAAAGTCATAAAATAGGAAATTTTGATAAATGACATAAAAACTCCACTCATCCACTCCATCTCACTCTCACATCAAAGAAGGTAAATAACAACAGAATCTTTCTCTAGCTAAATATCTGCTAGTGACCCAAGGAAGATGGAGAAGAAGAAGATGATGAACAAAAAGAAGAAGAAAATGAAAATGAAGAAGGAAAAGGAATCGCCGCCACCGACGAGGACGACGAGAAGAAGAAGAAGAAGAAGAAGAAGAAATAGACTATAATGACGATGTGGGCAACGACCAAGATGATGACTTCAACAATGAAGAGGAAGCCAAAGAGAAATGTCTGATCATAGGTAACTTTTTTTTCTCGATATTACAGCACAAGCAAATCTAATTCAGTCTATTGCAATATGTAGATATAAACGTGTTTTTTTTTTCAAATGCAGTGATCAATATAAGACATTATCTGAGTGGCAGAACCAAACTTAACAATTACCACCAATTTCAACCAACTCTATACATGTTCTGTCACGTTGCAGGTATCTGTCTTCAGAGGGAGGAGGGATAATTGTGCCAGAGTGTTGAGTCATGAGGCTGGGATTGGAGCAAGATATTCTTTCCTTCGTTCAAACACCATGCATGCTTATCATTTAGACCAGCAATACACAGTGAGTAGTTCCTGTCCGTGTCTTAGGGAAGAGCACGTGTTGTGGGCATGTATCAGAGTAAAGAGCAGCATGTAGTGGGAGCATATGAGAGAGAGTGAGGAATAGAGGGTGTATACATATATGTATGCGTGTGTGCATGTATGTGTGTGTGCGCGTGCGTTCATGCATGTGTGTGTGTGTGTGTGTGTGCGTGCGTGCGTGCGTGTGTGCATGTATGTGTGTGTGCGTGCGTTCATGCATGTGTGTGTGTGTGTCGAGACAGAGAGAGGGAGAAAGAGAGACAGAGTGGATGAAGTGGGAGAAAGGGAGTTTATCAAAATTTCTTATTTTATGACTTTAATAAATTAATTTGGTCTGTCTGAACTGTTGTAGTTGGGATCAGACCTAAGAAATGTAAATTATATAAAATATCCACAAATGAGTTGACTGAAATGATCCGTTATAATGCCTCCTAACAGGTTGCTCATTTAATCACCTATACTTACGTATTAATAATCTAGCACTTAATCATTGCAGTTTTGTCTTTACTGCTGTTACAGAGCAAGGAACCAGGAAGGAACCGGAACCGGGAACAAGGAACCAGGACTTTAAACTCACTTCTGCTGAGAAGCTGCGTAACACTGCCACACCCACGGATCAGCACACGCCGGCAATGAGCCACCAAATTGTGTAAAAGGACATTTGTGCAGACATAGACACTTCATCAAGCTGACGGGATGTGTGAGTGCATGAAATCGTTGAGACAAAACTGTTATTGCAACGATGCACTACGTTAACGTGAAACTGCCTTGTTATCATCTATCCTCGAATCCTCGAATCTATAATCGAATTGTTAATCGAATCCTGAGTAGTTTTTCATCTAATTCATTTTTAGACATCAGCAGTTCAATATTTGAAGTGTTTGACTAGACATTTTAATGACAAAGATAGGAAATTTGTTGCTAAATTTGTTTTTAATGTACCGTTTTCATTTAATTGTGGATGCAAATATAAAATGCAAATTTGGCTTATTACATTTATTTACATGCTAAGGAATCAATTTAATAACTTCCAAATCATTTTTATAATTCGAAATTTTTTTGAACCCCACTATTGAACTTATTACCCGCAGGGAAAAATTTATCACTTAACTTACTAGCATTTAAACCATTTTATTAACGTTAGAGCCAATTCATTCGCTTCAAATTCAACTCTATTCTGTCGTATGTACGTAATTTGCAGCAAAAATAATGTCACGTAAATTGTAAAGTTGTAATTTGCAGCAAACCTTGCCACTAGATAGCAGTCAATGGTCATTACTGAAGTGATTCACTGGTGACCATGGTTGTAGATTTGGAAGCAAATTGATTCGTTTCATGTAAATTTGTTTTGTACTTTATTTGGAAATGTGTGTGAATGCAGAGTAATTTTGTAGGAGATAGCTTTTCCAGGTGAACGACTGCGAGCGTGGACGGGAGCATGAAAGTGTGAGTAAAAGAGGGGTAGCGAAGGGGGAGGGGGAGGGGGTGGAGTGGGAACAGGGGAGGGGGGAAGGGTGGGAAGTGGGGGGAGGGGGGAAGGAGGGGTTAAGGTGGGGTGGGGGGAGGGGGGAGGGGGGAGTTAGGTTAGAGCTTGCAATGGGGCAGCATAGGTTAGGTTAGCTAGAACTATAGCCCCAATGGCTCCGCAGCAGGCCTGCGGCGGCGTATTGGTGGGTTATAGCCCTGCTGCGTTAGAGCGAGGGCTATAGTTCTAGAGCTTAGGTGAGCGAGAGTGAGAGTGAGAGTGACACAGAGGGAGAGAAAGCGCGCGTGAAAGCGAGAGCGAGGGAGATTAACAGCGTGCGTGGAAGTGCGTATGAGTCTGGGAGAGCACGCGCGAGAGGGAGAGAGGGAGAGCGGAGAGATAGGTTAGATAGAGAGATTAGCTAAAGACTTCTATATATGACGTAAATAAAGTTGTATTTTTCATATTAAATCTTTTATTTTTAACAGTTGTTATTATGAATGTTGTACAATGGATATACAAATAAAATGTTATTCTAAACTACTTCTATGACTACTACTACTATTCTAGCCTATTTCTTTACTACATTTCTATCGTCACGAGTTTCTGCAATGCATTAAGACAAAATACAAAGTTATACTAGACTAAAATTCCCTAAAATCACTTTACAAGTAACTGCGCAAGTACTTGTGAAACTGACAAGTGACTTGGGAATGACGGAACTTGCTAGAAATTATTAATATCAAGAATTCCTTATAATATATCTTACTTAAGTGATATATACTCCACTGAACGCAAGATACAAACTCACGGTAACATAGTATGTTACTTACATTATTAGTCTATGATTCTTTCTCTCTCTCCCCTCTCCTCTCTCTCGCCCTCTCTATTTTTCTCAATCTCGCTGTCTCACATCTATGTTTGGCCTACTCGTCTTCTTCGTCTTTCTCTCACTTTCACCCTTCCTCTCTCTCTCTCTCTCGCCCTCTCTATTTCTCTCTATCTCGCTGTCTCTCTCATCTATGTTTGGCCTACTCGTCTTCTTCGTCTTTCTCGTCTCGTCGTCCTCTACATCGGGGGTGGCTCTCTCTCTCTCTCTGCGTGCCGCACGGGGCGCCATCATCAGAGGCTCGGGGACCCGCGCTCTCTCGTCTTGCAGTCGTCTCGTCGCTGCTC